TTTTATATTTTATAATTTTTTATGATTATTCAATTATAATTTTATGATTTCATGTTTCAAATTTTATCCTACCCGGGATGTTTAATAGACTCTTATTCGTACAGATTTCAGTGTGTTATTCCTAAAAATTACAGCCTACAATAAAAAAACTACATATTTCCATGCAAAATAATGGTACCGCTTTCAGCACAAAAAAATTGGAAAGAATCATACCGCCAAGGAGGTTAAAAGTATCACTAAACCCACATTATAAAAAACTACCAATGCTGAATTACATGCTGTTCATACTCGGTCACTATGGGATTCATATTCTGCAAAAAACCTGGTTGATCCTGCTGTTCTCTATCTCCCCTTTCTGTCCATGTCCCCCTCCATGCCCACTAACTAGCTAATCACAAAGGGAGTGGGATAGTACATTTTGATTGATGGAGGCTTCACCCCCTTGTTATTCCAAGACACAGGCTGGAGGGGCATGATACATCCTGTGACTGGAAGAAATTCACCCACACACCATGTTATTGACAAAAAATAAAAAAGATTTATCATTATTATTATTATTATTCAGGATTTATATAGCACCAACAATTTGCCTTAAAAGTATCACTAAACCCACGTGATAAAAAAAAACTACCAATAACAGGCTGAATTGCATGCTGTTCATACTCAGTCACTATGGGATTCATATTCTGCAAAAAACCTGGTTGATCCTGCTGTTCTCTATCTTCCCTTTCTTCCATGTCTTCCTCCATGACAACTAATCAGCTAAATACAAAGGGAGTGGGATATTACATCTTGATTGATGGAGGCTTCACCCCCCCCCTTGTTATTCCAAGACACAGTCTGGAATAACAAGGTACATCGTGTAACTGGCAGAAATTCACCCACACCATGTTATTGACAAAAAATAAAAAAGATTTATTATTATTATTATTTTTATTATTTAGGATTTATAATGCACCAACAGTTTGCCTTAAAAGTATCACTAAACCCCACGTTATAAAAAAAAAAACTACCAATAAATGCTGAATTACATGCTGTTCATACTCAGTCACTATGGGATTTGTATTCTGCAAAAAACCTGGTTGATCCTGCTGTTTTCTCTCTCCCTTCTGTCCATGTCCCCACTGCAGATGGGGATTTTGCGCAGCAGTGTTGGCAGCTAGTGCACATGCTTAATTTTTTGATGAGTTTCTATGCTGAGCAAATATTCCCTATCATATCTGAGCAGCCCATGTGACTATAGAGTCATTCATGTGGGCGTATACACAGTGGTACATGACAGCCCACTCCCTTTCTCCTCCTCCATGCCCACTAACCAGCTAAACACAAAGGGAGTGGGATATTACATTTTGATTGATGGAGACTTCACCCACCTGTTATTCCAAGACACAGGCTGGAGGAGTGATACATCCTGTGACTGGCAGAAATTCACCCACACCATGTTATTGCCAAAAAATAAAAAAGATTTACCATTATCATTATTATTATTCAGGATTTATATAGCTCCAACAGTTTGCACAGCACTTTACAATATAAAGGGAGACAGAACAGCCACAATGCAATCAAAGCAAGAGGATTAAGAGGGTCCTACTCATAAGAGCCTACAACTGAATAGATTTGATTTCAAATATTAATTTGTACGATGATTTAAATCAGTTTACTGATATTAATGATTTATTTTTACTCTGTATCCCAAAGGCTTTTTTTTTTAAATATATTTTGAACATGACCAGCAGCAGAGCACTAGAACTCCTCCTGCCACTGTTTCCCTGCAGACAGGCTAGGAAAGAGTTGGGTCAAGTGACAGCTGTATATCAATTAGGAAAAGGATGCTTAGATTTTTTTTTAAATAAATTATTTAAAGTGCCATCATCCACATTCAGAAAGAGAAGGGATAATGTAAATTAACCACTTCAATACTAGGCACTTTCACCCCCTTCCTGCCCTGGACAATTTTCAGCTTTCAGTGCTGTTACACTTTGAATGACAATTGCACAGTCATGCAACACTATAACCATATGAAATTTTTATTTTTTTTAAGACAGAGCTTTCTTTTGGTGGTATTTGATCACTGATTTGTTTTTATTTTGTTTTTTTTTGCTAAACAAATGAAAAACGACCAAAGTAATTTTTCTCCTTCACTGATGTGCGCTGATGAGACTGCACTGATGGACACTGATAGGCTGCATTGATGGACACTGATGGGCATTGCTGAGGCTGCACTGCTAGGAGTCACTGATGGGCACTGATAGGTGGCTTTGATGAGGAGGCACTGATGTCCACTGTCGCAACACTGAAGGCCACTGACAGGCTGCACTGATCATCATGGCACTGATGCTTAGTGCCCTGATTATCAGTGTAAACCAGGGGCGGACTGACCATTTGGAAACTCGGGCACTACCCGAGGGCCCGGGGTCAGTAGGGGGCCCCATGAGATGCCCCTGGTACCTTTTTCATAGGTTTTTTTGAGTTTGGGCAAGGACACAGGGGACCCATGATCCCCTATTGCCCAGGGGCCCCATGAGTTGTCAGTCCGCCCCTGGTGTAAACATCCCCTGTCATGATCGCCAGTTACTACCTCTTCTCATGCTGTCACAGCTGTGAGGAAAGGACTGCCAATAACCAGCAAGTCTACTTACAGTGTGATCAGCTGTGATTGGACACAGCTGATCACATGGTAAAGGGCCTCTGTGATGCTGATCACATGGTAAAGGGCTACTGTGATTGGCCCTTTACCACAACGTGGGATCAACTGTGTCCTATGGACATAGCGTTCACAGAGTGCACCGGATGCGTGCCCCTGGCGGCGTGCAGGAGGCATGGTTCTGGGAGGACATCTATAGACACCCTCCCAGAACTGGATGATCATGCTGCAGCCATCTTTTGGCTATAGTGTGGTCAAGAACTGGTTAAACCATGTGTGTTTGGTATCACTGTAACCAGCTGCAGGCTCTGGGCATTCTAGACACGCCCCAAAAAATGTCATTATTGTACACAGGACATGTATAGAACGTCCAGTCCTTGTGCCCTGCTGCCGTGACCCCTGTCCCTGTACACTGCAACTCAGCTCTGATTAATGGCAGCTGCATTGCTGAGTACACAGAGAAGGTCCCCAACTGAGCTGTCAAATAAAACCTGGCAGACAATGTTTATCAATAGTATAGCTCAAGAAAACTAAAAGGAAACATTGTTTCATTTTGTATCTTTCTGTTTATTTATGTACAGATTCCAGGGATGAGCTTCCTTCTGCAGGTGAAGTCAGTTAAAGCAACCTGACAAGTAAAAAAAACAAGTTGGGTTTTTTTTAATTAAATATTCCTCTGTTTAACCCCTTATTAAACCTTAGTTTATTCTAATCAGGCCTAAAAAAAATAATTCTCCTTTTCCAATAAATTATAATTTCTTTAATGATTTTTTTTTTTGTATGTCTCTATTATATTAACTAATATTATTTAAACTTTTTTTTGTTTTTGTTTGCTTTGTTCATTAATATTTTTGCAACTTTTACATATTTTTTACATGTATCGCATTTCTTAAAAAGCGCACAACTGAATAAAAAATACTTTACGTAAATAAGTTTACAATGCTTTGTACCAGAATCATAATTTTAGTGTCTTTTTTAAACAGGACAGAATAACATGCGCACTTTTTATGTGCAGTAATACTATTTTTTTTAACATTGCTAAAAAAAAGAGAGTTTTGTTTGATTTTGTTATGTTTAATTGTCTAAAGATTGTGAAAAAAAATTAATTGTTGCAAGACAATATTCTCTAAAAGAAGGTCTTGTTTGTACTTTAAAAAAAAAACAATATATGTGTTGTTCTGTTATCTTAAGTAATGACAAAGTTATTTCCGAGTAAATAGGTCCATATCAGAAATGTAAAAATTGCTCTTGACCGCTAGGGGTGTACAGGTGTGAAAGGTGAAGGGGTTAAAGATTATGTAAACCCAACTTTTTATATTCCTGATATGTGCCTGCTGTACCATGTACTTGTATGAAAAAAGTATCCTGTTCTCCTTGTATTGCTTCCCTTGTGTGAAATCCCTGGTGTCCCTGCCAGTCCCTCTGCTTCCCTGTTAAAAACTAAAAACACTAGACATGACAGCACACTGTGGTCAGTTCTCTACCCGTGCTGGGAACTCATCATGTTCTCCTCCATTGATTAGACTTGTCCTGTCTTGCCCCCCCCCCCCCCCCCCCCCCCCGCACAGCCATTCACTGGGAAGATCAGTGTTCTGCTGCATCTCCTCTCCCATGCAACAGAGAACAGAGGGAATATGATCACTTTAAAAAGGGGGAGGAGAGTGTTTATCATGTTTACATCTATACACAAATGTTTTGCCTTTCATTTCTGTTTTAAACTGAATGGGTTGTTTTACAAGGTGAGGGTTTACATACACTTTAACCTCTTCCCATCCGTTCATAGACTATAGATGGCGGATGGGAAGTTTTGCCGATGTGGGCTAATGTACCTGTACGTCAGCCAACATCGGTGCTCCTGCACAGCTCACAGAGCATGCACCTGGGAGCCCCACGATTGGTATACTGCCCAGACACAGAGGATCACATTACCACTGTATCCAGACAATCACATGGTGTTTTACCATGTGATTGATGTGTCCAATCACAGCAATCACATGGTAAACAATGCAAAGTGAAACTAAAGATCACTTCCCTCTGCTCTCACTGTTTGCAGCTCTGATGCGAGACTGATTATTTCAAGTTTTAGCTGTAGTATATACAGGATGAGTTGGTAGGATTTGACCAATCATAAATAACATTACCTTCCAATGAATATAGCACATTCCTGAAAGGTTAAATACTGGGCTGGCTTGTTCATATAGCCAGTTTACAATGACATTCCTATTGCATGAAGTCATCTAAGGTAAGTACACTTAGAACCCATTCTTAGATATTGTGAGCCAATTTTAATAAGAATATCATACATTTCCCTATCAGAGGCCAGGTGTAGAGTATGTGCTAGCCAGTGCTAGGTCAGCTGGTGAATTACTTCTTGTGTCTTAACAGTTTTCACAACCCAAATCTGCATATCAGGAAGTCATAAACTTTTCTATGGAGCAAGCTGGAGCTGTACAGGTAGGCTGTCCTAAAATATTAAGAAAGCTTTATCTTTTCTGAAACAGAAGTACGTTAATGGTAGATACAGTATCTCACAGAAGTGAGTGAGTACACCCCTCACATGTTTGTAAATATATGATTCTATCTTTTCATGTGACAACACTGAAGAAATGACACTTTGCTACAATGTAAAGTAGAGAGGGTACAGCTTGTATAACAGTGTAAATTTGCTGTTCCCTCAAAATAACTCAACACACAGCCATTAATGTCTAAACCGCTGGCAACAAAAGTGAGTACACCCCTAAGTGAAAATGTCCAAATTGGGCCCAAAGTGTCAATATTTTGTGTGGTCATTTTCCAGCACTGCCTTAACCATCTTGGGCATGGAGTTCACCAGAGCTTCACAGGTTGCCACTGGGGTCCTCTTCCACTCCTCCATGATGACATCACGGAGCTGGTGGATGTTAGAGACCTTGCGCTCCTCCACCTTCCATTTGAGGATGCCCCACAGATGCTCAATAGGGTTTAGGTCTGGAAACATGCTTGGCCAGTCCATCACCTTTACCCTCAGCTTCTTTAGCAAGGCAGTGGTTGTTTTGGAGGTGTGTTTGGGGTCATTATCATGTTGGAATACTACCCTGCGGCCCAGTCTCCGAAGGGAGAGGATCATGCTCTGCTTCAGTATGTCACAGTACATGTTGGCATTCATGGTTCCTTCAATGAACTGTAGCTCCCCAGTGCTGGCAGCACTCATGCAGCCCCAGACCATGACACTCCCACCACCATGCTTGACTGTAGGCAAGACACACTTGTCTTTGTACTCCTCACCTGGTTGTCACCACACACGCTTGACACCATCTGAAACAAATCAATTTATCTTGGTCTCATCAGACCTCAGGACATGGTTCCAGTAATCCATGTCCTTAGTCTGCTTGTCTTTAGCAAACTATTTGCGAGCTTTCTTGTGCATCATCTTTAGAAGAGGCTCCCTTCTGGGACGACAGCCATGCAGGCCAATTTGATGCAGAGTGCGGCGTATGGTCTGAGCACTGACAGACTGACCCAGCACCCCTTCAACCTCTGCAGCAATTTTGGCAGCACTCATACGTCTATTTCCCAAAGACTGCCTCTGGATATGATGCTGAGCATTTGCACTCAACTTCTTTGGTCGACCATGGCAAAGCCTGTTCTTGAGTGGAACCCGTCCTGTTAAACTGCTGTATGGTCTTGGCCACCATGCTGCAGCTCAATTTCAGGGTGTTGGCAGTCTTCTTATAGCCTAGGCCATCTTTATGTAGAACAATTCTTTTTTTCAGATCCTCAGAGAGTTCTTTGCCATGAGGTTCCATGTTGAACTTCCAGTGACGAGTATAAGAGAGTGAAAGCGATAACACCAAATTTAACACACCTGCTCCCCATTCACACCTGAGATCTTGTAACACTAACCAGTCACATGACCCCGGCGAGGGAAAATGGTTAACTGGGCCTAATTTGGACATTTTCACTTAGGGGTGTACTGACTTTTGTTGCCGGCGGTTTAGACATTAATGGCTGTGTGTTGGGTTATTTTGAGGGGACAGCAAATTTACTCTGTTATACAAGCTGTACACACACTACTTTTACATTGTAGCAAAGTGTCATTTCTTCAGTGTTGTCACATGAAAAGATAGAATAAAATATTTACAAAAATGTGAGGGGTGTACTCACTTCTGTGAGATGAGGTCGGTACATAGGGGAGCTGGAATTTAGAAAAAAAAAAGATGAACTTAGCCGTTACTGGCTCCCACCCAGCCTATTGTACAATGATGGCTGGGTGGGACCACTTTCGTTCTGGGAGTATGTTATGTGATGCCCTCCCATTCTTGCCAAGCATGCATGCCCCCAGGGGTGCACAGAGTGGCGATCAATGATGAGCCGTGTCCCCCAGACACAGCAGATCACCAATCAAGGTAAAGAGCCAATGACGTTGGCTCTTTACCATGTCATCAGTTGTGTGCAATCACAGCTGACCACATGTAAACAAATGCTGGTTATTGGCATTTCCTTTCCTCAGTGCTGTCACTGTCTGAGGAAAGGAAATCTGATAATTGGTTTTCCTGTAACAGGGGACGTTTACACTGATAATCAGGACACTGATCACCAGTGCCCTGGTTATCAGTGCAGTCCCATCAGTGCAGCATATCAGTACCCATTAGTGGAGCATATCAGTGCTCATAAGTGCAGCATGTTAGTGCCCATCAGTGCAGCTCCATCATTTCAGCATATCAGTGGCCATCAGTGCTGCTTTCCAGTGGCCATCAGTGCTGCCTTATAATTACAGCCTCATCAGTGTTGCCTCATCATTTCCCATCAGTGCTGCCTCATCGGTGCCCATCAGTGCTGCCACATCAGTGCAGCCTTGTCAGTGCAGTCTATCAGTGCCCATCAGTGCAGTGCAATTATTTGCAAAATTTTATGCAAAGAAAAAATTGAAGAAAAAGTTATTTTTTCTTCTAAATGTTTTCATTTGTTTAGCAAAAATTGAAAAAAAACAGTGGTGATTAAATACCACCACCAAATGAAAACTCTATTTGTGTGAAAACAAATGCTAAAAATTTCATTTGGGTACAGTGTTGCACCCAATGTATTGTGCAATTGTCATTCAAAGTGTGACAGCGCTGAAAGCTGAAAATTGGCCCAGGCAGGAAGGGGGTGAAAGTGCCAGGTACTGAAGTGGTTTAAAAAGACTTCTTCTAAATTATTGTTTAATCACTTGCCAACCGTGCTATAGCCGAATGACAGCTACAGCTTGGTTGTCCAGTTCTGGAAGGGCGTCATATGACGTCCTCCCAGAACGCGCCCTCCTGCATGCCCCCGTGCGATCTCTGTGATCGCTGTTTCCTATGGACACAGCTGATCATGTGATGTGGTAAAAGGCCAATCACAGCGGCCTTTTACCATCTGATCGGCCGTGTCCAATGACACAGCAGATAACCGGTAAATGCAGTTGCAGGTTATCGGCTGCACTTTCCTCACTGGCAATTTTCAGAAAACAGATCGGCACTGATCATCAGGGCACTGATGAACAGTGCTCTGATGATCAGTGCCCAGCAGTGCCACCCACCAGTGCTGCCCAGCAGTGCTGCCCACAAGTGCCCCTCAGTGCCACCCACCTGTGCCCATTAATGCCCATCAGTGCCATCCACCTGTGCCCATTAATGCCCATCAGTGCCATCCATCTGTGCCCATCAGTGCCTAGTAGTGCCACCAACCTGTTCCCAGCAGTGCTCCCCACCAGTGCACAGCAGTACCCCCATCAGTGCCACCCATCAGTGCCCATCAGCGCTGCCAATCAGTGCTGCCCATCAGTGCCGCCTATCACTGCTGTCTATCAGTGCAGCATCATCAGTGCTAGCTCATCAGTGCCGCCTATCACTGCTGCCTATCAGTGCTGCCTATCCGTGCCACCCCATCAGTGCCCATCAGTGCCGCCTATCAGTGCTGTCTATCAGTACCCATCAGTGCTGCCTATCAGTGCAGCCTCATTAATGCACATCAGTGAAGGAGAAAAACTACCTGTTTGCAAAATTTTTTGCTCTTTTTTTGTTTATAGTGCAAAAAATAAAACACCCAGCAGTGATTAAATACCACCAAAAGAAAGCTCTATTTGTGTGAAAAAAATGATAAAAATGTCATATGGGTACAGTGTTGCATGACCATGCAATTGTCATTCAAAGTGCGACAGCGCTGAAAGCTGAAAATTGGCCTGGGCAGGAAGGTGGTATAAGTGCCCAGTAGGCAAGTGGTTAAACAGAAAGGGAGCCCTGGCAGCCAGTTCGGTTTAGTACATGATGCCATATACACAGGTATGTTAGCGTAGTGCAATTTTTTTGTAAAGCTGAACTTACAATTTTAAAGAGGAACTTCTTATCTTATATTGCAGTCCATGAACTTTCCCAATACCTTGCCTGTTCTGCGCTGCCAGGTTGTGTAAGGGCATATCCTGATGTGCTCCACCAATCATGCGCAGCCTAGTGCCCTAGTAACAGCAACATGTTAACCAAAAAAACAAAACTGCTGGGCGTGTATGAATGGGATGGGATTGGAGGTCGTTACTATGGTGGACTAAGTGTAAATCAAATGATACCTTGCTAGAGTGCCAGATACACATGTGTGGGATTTTTGGCACACCCAGAGCGCTAATTGGAAAACATTTATTTTATACATTGCCTTTGTAATGGAAACGCTATGCCACTATACTGTGCATACCACACAGCCAACATCATTCTCACCTAGGTGAGAAACAAGGAAGTACAGAGGACATAAGTGATAAAAAAAAAACTAATATAAAAACGTGTATATGGATTTAACAACTGAGGGGGTGAAAATGAAAGTGGAATTAAAGTTTACGAATGCCTCGGTTAACGTAATTTTCGGTTTACAAATGAAAATCCGTTGAAAATAATGCCTTGCTTTACGAATATTTTTCTGCAATACGAATCAATTAATTGGTTTTCAATGCGTTTACAAATCTTTTTTTAATCATGTCCCTGTACAGTATTTATGCCTTTAAAGTGCACTTTATGAAGAGTTTTGAACAGATAAGACTTTTTATTACATTTTTCTGACCTCCTGAACGGATTAATTGGTTTTCAGTGCATTTACAAATTAATTTTTAATCATGTCCCTGTACAGTATTTATGCCTTTAAAATGCACTTCATGAAGAGTTTTGAACAGATAAGACTTTTTATTACATTTTTCTGACCTCCGGAACGGATTAATTGGTTTTCAGTGCATTTACAAATTAATTTTTAATCATGTCCCTGTACAGTATTTATGCCTTTAAAGTGCACTTTATAAAGAGTTTTGAACAAATAAAAGACTTTTTTATTTTCTTTTTTTTTGACCTCCGGAACAGATTAATCGGTTTTCAATGCATTCCTGTAGGAAACCACATTTCGGTTTACTAATTTTTGGCAATATAAAAAAGTCCCGCAGAACGAATTAAATTCGTAAACCGAGGTACACCTGTATGTGGGAAAAAAAGGGCATCTGCTGGATCACCAAACCTTCTCTCATTAGCACCCTTTGCAGTCCAAATAAAAAGCAGCCTGTGCAGATGCCAACCTGGGAGCTGCAGAAGACTGGACTGCAGGGCTGGCCAGCTGTGTGGGATTGGCATCCAGGAGAGAAGAGAAGAGACGCGTGGCATGGCAGCGAGTGGGGCCAACCTTTTTAGGAAAGTAAAATAGAAAAGCCTAAACTAATGTTATTATTAATTGCCACAACATTAACAAACTCTATACTGGGCACAGTAAGAATGGTATGAGGTCACTCAAGTCTGGACTGTTAATGCGGCATTTTGTGTTATTTTTGCAGCCAACGTCTTTAGTAAGTGAAGCAGGAAAAGCCTAATGTAATCTTATAAATTGGCTGACTGATGAAACATAAAAAGCCTGTGTTCTAAGTAATAAGAATGGTATCATTTATTTTTTGGGGGAGCAATCACTCACAGCTGGACTGGTAATGCTGGGATTTGGACAGTCATCTTTTTTTCAGCAAGAAAACCAGAATCTTCTTTAATGACTGAAATGTCAAGAATTGACCTTCTAAAATTGGAAAAATATATTGTCTGCGAATGGTAAAAATCTGTTTGGGGGTGACTCAATATATAGAGCTTTTTAAAATGGTCTTTTGTCCACTCGCATAACCAGGCCCACCTGAGATGGAGTATGTTTTCTTTTACAAACACAGGCCTATAGGAGCCTGTACATTATGCAAAAAGAATTAAAGTAAAACTTTGGTTGCATCCCCCAACCTCCACTTCCACATTTGACACTTTTTGGAGGGGAGGCAGATACCCACTTCCACTTCTGGTCATTTCGCCATGGCGATGTCTGGCTCCTCCTCAGCCTTCTGGGACACATAACAGGTCCCAGAAAACTGTGGGACCATTCACAAAGCCAGAAGCCTTCACTGACGGTTTCCCTTACTTAACCCCTTCGCGCACCTCCTGGCCCTTTAAACACCCTTTGAGGACCATAAGATTACGGAACGCCAAAAGAATCAATTTTTTGTTTTTAAAGTTCATACACTTCAGTTGCTGTAACTAAGCCATTTCATGAAATAATTGGAAAAAGCTAGATCCATTTGTTGATAAGACCTAATATTTTGACTCAAACCAAAAAAAAAGTATTTTAAGTTCTTAATCAGATGATACAGGCAATTAAAAACATGGGACAAATACGTCCCTTGGTCCTCAAAGGGTTAAAGGGTTTCTGATGTCGGGAGACGGGTGGGGTTTAGGGTCATGTGACCGCCGTGATTGGCTGTCACTGTAGTCACATGATCGGAAAGGTGCTGATCGCAAGGAGAGATCAGGACCTTTCTGTGGGACGCCGACACATGTGCTGGGAGCGTTCTCAGCACGTTTGTTTACAAATGGTTCGCAAATATGCGGCCGCTTGGCATCAAGGTCAGCCGCTGAGAGGACGCATATTTGTATACGCTTGGCGTGAAGAGGTTAAGATGCTGGTGCCTGCACCCGAAGCCGACTGAAGAATTGACTCAGGTGGGGACTTCGCTGGACCCCTAGACAGGTAAGTGTCCTTATATTAAAAGTCAGCAGCTACAGTATTTGTAGCTGCTGACTTGTAATATTTTTTGGGGAGATTGGAGCTCCTCTGTAAACTAATAGTTTAAATTAAATTTTTGTAAATGTTGTATCCAGGTTTTATGTACATTTTTTTTCCTAGTAACCTTAATACAGTGATGTCTTCATGCCAAATCAGTAGAACTGACCTATTTGTGAAGCCATCCCCAAGTCAGTGGTAAACAAGCAGGATGTCCTCCAGCAACATTGCCCTATTTCTGATGCCATGTCAAAGTCAGCATACGTGAAGCATGTTGCAACAGAGCTGTCCTTCAGCAATAGTGCCCTATTCCTGATGCCATCCCCTGGTCAATGTTTGCTAAGCAAGATGTAACATAGAGATGTTCTCCAAAAGATGACAACAGGGAGCCTTTGTTTGAGACAAGCATGTAAAATTTTCAAAAATTTAGCAAATTTGTTTTGCACCTTAAAGGAGAAGTACAGCTAATGCTTATTTGGCTGTCCTTCTATGGATCACAGGAGTGCAGTTGGTTCTGCACTGCTGTGACCTGGTTTTAGCTGATATCGCAGAGCCAGTCCAGGCTGAGGAAAGATCACGACTATATGGTCAGGATCCAGCTAGATCCCTGGACCGGCACCCAGGGGCAGACTGACAACTCATGGGGCTCCTGGGCAATAGGAGATCATGGGGCCCCTGTGTCTTTGCCCAAAATCAAAAAAACCTATGAAAAAGGTACCAGGGGCATCTCATGGGGCCCCCTACTGACCCCAGCCCTCGGGCACTGCCCGAGTTTCCAAATG